TTGTTTTGAGTGCATTCCCGACTTGGGGTGTTTATTATGCATTAGATGAAAAGTGGGCTGTGGATAATGGGAAAATCATGGGCAGTTTTGGGAGGCCTCATCCAGAAGACCCCGAGTCAGGGAGGAGCAGGCGCCTGGCAGGTGAAACCTCCCAGGTGGAGACAGTGTGGCCGGAACCTCCTGCTTTATCCATGGCAGGCTCCTTGTGACCCAGGAGACCAATCTCACACCATCCACACCTCCCAGACTGAAGGCTGTCACAGTCCATGTGCGTGGGCCACGCCCCTCCCCGTGTGTCACAATCCATGTGCGTGGGCCCCACCCCACCTTGCCCTTCAGTGTTGAAGTCTGAGTAGCTATCACAGCCGTGTCCCGATCTGTGTCACAGTGGTCGCCCACTGCCCACCCTGTCTCATGCACGGCCTCCCCCACCCTGCTGGAGTGGACCTGGTGTGCTCGTCCAGCACCTGGGTCTCTGAGGTCGTCCTCTCCTCTCTCCTGCTCCCCGCATGGGCTATGGACTCAGGTACCCCAGGTCACTCCAGGCACCTACCAGGCCACTCCCAGGAGGGCACATTCGGGTTGTAGATGTGGTTGTCTCTGAGACTGTGCGTTCAGACTCAGAAACAAGGGTCCCCAGGAGGCGTGTCCCCTGGCTGGGCACCCCCTCATGGCTGTCTCTCAGGGGCATCTCTGAGCCAGCCTGTGGAGGTGGGTGCAGGCATCGCCATTGGGGCCTGCGTGGGGCTCTGGACTCTGGGCATCCTTCTGTTTGTCATCCTCTTCCTCACAAACAGAGGTAGGTGAGCACCCCAGGGAGGGGGCATGCAGGTCGAGCTGGACCATACCCCAAGCTGCCCGGGCCTGACCCCTCAGCAGGGAGAGAACTAGGGAGCCAAGCCCCCAGGCCCTGGGCTCCAGCGAGTCCCTCTGAAGCTCGTTAGCCTGCCCTGAAGCTGGGACCCCACTGACCCAGAGCAGGCCAGAGACCTGGGTCACCAGGGCAGCATCACCACGGAGCCCCACCCCTCCATACACGCACCCCAAGGCTCCCGCTGGCTCTGGCCTGTCTTTGCTCCTGGGAAGTGGGTGGCAGTGCAGCTGTGGCCCTCACTGCACCGTGTGTCTGGGGAGGGCAGAGCGCTTCCTCCAGGGGCAGCCATGGCTGTGGGAGCTGACGCACATCGTGGCCTGGATCTGGGCGTTCCACCTGGGGCTGACCGTGAGCCTGGTGTGGGTCTGGCATCGGTTCCGAGGTACCCGGGTGTGGAGGGGAAGCCACTTGAGGAAGGGTCGTTGCCTGAACACCCGGCCCAGAGCCAGCTCAGGTGGTGTAGGGGCGAGGGGGCTGCAGCACACAAGGTGGAATATGGGGAGGGGGTTGGACTCGGGTCCTGCCCAGGGCCCAGAGAACAGCCAGGCCTGGGGTCTCCAGGGCTTGACCCCAGCCAGATGACACACTGGATAGACAGGCTCTCCTGGACCTCACTCACGTTCCTGCCTGTCGTCCCCTTTGCCATGGTGATCGCCATCAGCGCTGTGCTTCTGATCAAGGGACAAGGTACTGGGGTGGGGCTGGGGCATCCCTACCACCAGGCCCCCCAGGTCCCTTCATCTGACCACTGCTCAGCATCTTGCCACCCCTGTGGGTCTCAGGCTCCCGCCCAGGGCTGAGCTCCAAGGACAGGGTCTCTGGCATCACCTGAGCCCACCCCCAACTCCTCAGGTCCAGTTGGCCTTGGCAGGTGGAAGGGTCGTGGGCACTGGCCACGTGCTAGCCTCAGGCTGCCGTGGAGTGGGATTAAATAAAGGTGCCTGGCTCTGTCCCTTGCCCTAGGGCACAGGGCAGGGATGGGGAGAGGACTTGGCAAGAGGCAGTGGACACAGTGGGAAGAGCTCACCAAGGTCCAAGTCACAGCCCCAGTGCTGTCAGGGGTCCTTGACAAGTCACTCCGTGCCTCAGTTTCTCCATCTGTGAAGTGAGAGCAGAGGCTGCTGGAAGTGCTCACCCCAGGGTTAGGCACACAGCCTCAACCCACTGGCTACTCCTGAGGAGGGGAGTTCACCCCAAGTCTCAGGAGCTGAGTAGGGAGGGTGTCCAGGGCAGAAGGAACAGCAAGACAGGGGCAGGCGGGTGGGCCCTCTGGAAGCTTGGGGGGCCGCTGCTGAGTGGCCTGAGGAGTGGTGTGAGCAGCATCCCAGAACAGGCCAGACAGAACATTCTGCTGCAGCCTTCAGGGTCCACGCAGGCCCCCAGCAGAGAGCACTAGTTGGGGGAGTGGGGGGACTAGCCGTGATACGGGGGTGGGGGAGGGGCAGCCTTGGCAGAAGCTGAGCAGATTGCCTGCGCCCCTTCTTCCCAGTAACTTTCCAGCTCAGTGTCCCGGCCAAAAGGTGAGTGACCTCCCAGACCCTCCCCAGTCGGACTCTGAGGGAGATGTAGTCTTGGCGCCTTGTGGGACTAAGACTGTCCCCCCCATTCACGGAGGGAGGGGTGAAGGACCCCAAGGGCGGGGAGAAATGTGGCAGGTAGCGCCTGGCCTTGAATCTGGGCCTGCGGAGATGAGTTCTGTCTCTCGTGGTACCTGGCGGACACCAGAGACACCCCTTCCCCAACAACCGAGAGAAAGGCCCCCGGGGGTACGAGGGGGGGGGTTGCATCTCAGCCCGCCTCCAGGCCCGGCGGCCTCCTCTTCCCCGGGAGAAAGGCTGCTCCTGGAATCACCCCCGCTCCCGAGGCCTGCGGCGCGGGCAGCCCGAAGCGGCAGGAGACAAGGTCCCCCCTCCTGCCCTAATCGCCGCGGGTCAGAGGCGAAGCCCAGCACCCGCCGCCAGGACTCCGGTGGGGAGGGCTGGGAGAGACGCTTCCGGCTGGGCAGCGGGGGAGGGGAGTGGGTGGGGCGGGCCGGGGAGCGGAGCCGGGGCTGGGCGGGGCTCGAAGGTGGGCGGGGGGGATCCGGGCCGGGGGCGGGGCTTACCACGGGCTCCCCGAACTATTCCACCGAGACTGCAGAATTGGGAATTGCAGAATTGGGAACAAGCAAGTCTCGAGGGAGCTGGAGACAGAGGAGAACGAAAGGCTTGGCAGACTCCTCCTGGAAGGAGGCATTTATGAGCTTTAAAGCGACACAACTCACCGAGAAATCCGGGAGGCTGGGACGACTTAAAAACCTCCGCCCATCGAGTGCCTCACCTCGCAACAGAAATTAAAAGGCCGAGGTCGACCCAGACACTCCCGCGACAGATGCGTGCGGCTCAGGAGCCCGGGAGGGGCTGGGGCGGCCTGGAGCCGCGGGCTGGCCTGGGAGGGCACCGGGTCCGAGGCTGCGGAGGACCAGACCGGGCGTGAGAGCAGACTCCGCCTCTCGCAGTCTCGGTTTCGTAATCTGTCAAATGGGGACAGTGGCCCCAGGCGGGCCCCGAGAGTGGCGAAGTGGAGAGCGCTGGGGGCAGAGGGACCCTGGTATGTAGATGCCAGGCCCTGGAGAGAGACTAGAAGAAAACATCCCAATGGGCTTGGCGGAGCCCCCAGTGCAGGGTCTCCTGATTTTTTCCCCTGGTTCTACTTGGTCTTTTCCCAATTTTCTGTAAGAAGTCAAGCACCAATTTCATATTAGAAGCCAATATCATTTAAGGCTAACATTCAGATGCTGTTTTAAGAGTTTATGAATCAACGTTTCTTTAAAATTTTAATGTTAAAACAGAGATTCTGCATCGTCTCGAATATTTTGACATTTTATTTTTACTTATAAAATACATTTTTTACAAAGAAGAAACTGCCTCAATTGTGTCCCTAATTTTAAGAGGCTCTGCCATACCTTTCATGCAGGTGTAGCTAACTAGACAGAGCCAGTCCGACGATATCAGTGAATTACTGCGGCTCTGAAATCAACCTCCTAAAATGGTGTTCAACACAAGCCTTCCTACCAACATGGTTTCTTTCCTAAACCGTGCTCCTCACACAGTTACAAGTCAACAATCCTTGAATCTGTCCATATCAGAGCAAATGTGGACAGACCTGGACCAATGATGACAGGACCAAAATAGGTGTACCTGTAAGTTCATGTCAAAGGCTGTCTGGCCGCGCCTCCTCCCGAGGCATCTAACGGAACGGGAGGCTGGGCCCGCTGGCTGCTGGACTCTGAATGCGCCGCTCACATATCTAGCCAAGACTGAATTAAATGAGGGGTTTATGATGATGTTTCCACAATGTCAACAGCAAAAAGAGCAACAGCCAAATCCCTGACAGAGCTCCTGCCACTCCAGCCACGCCGCCCACTGGGAAGGGACGCCGACCAAGTGCCGTTCGGTGGGATGAGCTGAACAGGTGCCACACGTGTGGCCTTAGGAATCCTAGAGAGAAACACACTGGACGACGGACGGCATCCGAATGGACTCGATCTTCCCAGTAACCCTAACTCCCGTGGAGGCCTCCAGAAGGAGGGAAAGGAATCATGAAGTGCTTCGAGGAAAACTAGGGTCTCCGGAGAGATGAAATGCTGTGGGGAAGCTCTGTCTGGACAAGATAGAGGGAGATTTCACACGTGTGTGTTGGGAAGGTGGAGCTTGCTCAAGGCTGGAGGCCAGGACTGGGCGAAGCCTCTTCTCCTATGGGGCGACGGGGTTAAGAGGCCATCGGTGGACAGACGGCAAAGCGCCCCAGCCTGGCACGTGGAGACTGAGGGCTACTGCGGCTGCTGCTGAGTCTGTTAGGTTCGGAGGCAAGTCCAGCGTCCTCCGACAGGACGTCACGCACCGACTTCCGGAGGGGGTGTGGGGCCGTCGCCCAAGCAACTGGGTAGAAGTGGGGGAGAGCAACTAAGTTCTCTCTCCATGGAGACTGAGCCGGCTGAACATCAACACGACTCACGGTGGGCGCGCCCCGACGGACGGCCAAGGTCCGGAAGGAGCCCATGAGTAAAGGTTGGCGACCATGCCCTGACCCCACGTTGACCCCATAACCCTGATTCTGCCTCCCCTAACCTCGTGAACCTGAGACGCGTCCCGCCCCGCTAGAATATTCAGGCTGAGGGACCGGAAGGGTTGAGCTGGAGGAGCGGGCTGGGGGCGGTGCCCTCACGCGTCCGCGTGCCCCAGACCCCGATCCCAACCCATGGCGCCCAAGAAGAAGCGCGGGCTGAGCGCAGGGCGCCAGCCAGGTGCGGCGAGAGAGGGCGCCGAGGCGCCACTGTCGGAGCGCGCGCAGTATCTGCAGCGTGAGTACAAGCTGCTCTCAGAGCAGCTGGACGCCTGCGATCAGCGCGTGGACCAGGTGCTACAGGAGAACGCCTTCCTCGACCGCGAGGCGCTGCGCCTGCGCGAGGAGAACCGGCTCTACGCCAGCTACATGAGCGCGCACGCGCAGCGCTGCGCCAAAGCTATCGTCCGGCTGCAGGAGCAGAACCGCGTGGACCTGACGCAGATCGACTGGCAGCGAGCCGAGCTGGCGTCGCACTACAGTGGGCGAGAGGACGGGGTGCGCGCGCAGCTGCTGGAGATGGAGGCGCGCGCGGCGCAGATAGCGCGGCAGGTGCAGGAGCTGCAGCCCTACAAGGCCAGTGCGCGCGCGCCCACGGGCCGACCGGGAGGGCGCCGGGTGCCGGGCGGGGTGGGCGCACGCCGCGTCCCGGACCTGACCCGCGCCCCCGCCGCAGGAGCTGCAGCTGGAGCAGCTGGCCCGGATCCGGGCGCTGGAGCGCGAGCTGCTGCACAAGCGCGTGGAGCACACGCAGTTGCTCCACTGCGTGAAGCGGCGCTTCATCGAGGACAAGGCGGCCTTCGAGCGTGAGGCTCGCCAGCGCGTGCAGTCCCTGGCACGGCGCGCTGAGAGGGAGGCAGCGCGCGCGCTCATCGCGCACACGCAGACCATCAAGGCGGACAACGGGCGCCTGCGGCAGGAGCTGCTGCGGCTGCTCAGCCGGGCCCAGCTGCTGCATGAAACGCGGCGCCAGCTGCTGGAGCAGCGTGAGCACCTGCGGCGCGAGCACGAGGACACGCGGGGCCTGGCGCGCGTGCATGGCTGGCTGCGCCGGGGCCCCGAAGGCCCGCCGCTATGGCAACCTCCTCCGCTCGCCTCGCGCCGCGAGTCCTTCGCCTCCTCCCCAAGCCTGTCGCGCGCAGCCTCGCGGCCCCCTTCGAACACAGCCTCCCAGGCCCCGTCACTGCTCTCGACGCGCGCAGCTTCCCGGCCCCCGTCAAACGCAGCCTCCCGGGCCCCGTCACTGCTCTCGACGCGCACGGCCTCTCGGGTCCTGTCAGCGATCTTGTCGCGTATGGGCTCCAGGGTCCCATCCCAGGCCCCATCGCACACGGGCTCCCGGGTCCCGTCCTTGACCCTGTCCCGCCCAGGTTCCTGGGTTTCTTCGCGGTCCTCATTGCGTGCGGCGTCACAGAACACCACCCCCTCTGCCAAGTCGGTGCCTGGATTGGGCTCTTCCCATCCCGCAGTCGAAGAGGACCATGAACACTGACGCTGCAGCGGAAGCCGCCGCGGGAGAGCCTGAGCCTGCCGGGAGGAAGGCCAGGGAGTGGGGGGAGACGAGTGCGCAGGACGCGTACTTGGTGAGTGCCATTGTTAATAAAGGTGCGACACACACACCCCCACGCCGCACTGGCACCGCCTGCTTCGCTGCTTCAGCATCTCCGGCTGGTGCAGGGGCCACTCATTCCAGCTTCCAGTTTCCAAGCTGCAAGGTAGCTTGATCGCCCATCGCCCTGTGTGTCTGCTGGGATTCAGCACCCCTCCACTCCACGGCTGACCTCGGGCTGCCGGAGCAGAAGGAGTCGGCCACACCAGCGTCCTGCCCTCGAGGGCTGACAGACTGGTGGCAGGGACGGACATCGCAGGCGTGGACAGATGGTGTGAGAGTAGGAAAGGAGTCTGGCGGGCCAGGCAGGAGCTGGGCAAACTGCCCGTTGTGTCCGGGAGGGCCAGCGTGGTGCAGGCTGCGGTCAGGAGGGCCTTCCAGAGGGGCGTGAGCTTTGTCCCAGCGCCACGGGGAGCCACGGGAGGTTTTATGTTTAACCTATGGGGGGTTTTTTGGTAATTTTTTATTTTAATGTAATTTCCAACTTAGAGAAAAGTTGGAAGAATAGTGCAGGAAAGTCCCATATGCATTGATCCAGATTCACCAGCAGCTTGCGTTCTGTCCCGTTGAGGGGAGGTGTGTGTGTCTGTGCGTTTTTTTCCCTGAACCCATTTCAGAGTAGGTTCAAGACATCGTGCCCCTTCATCTCTAAATCCTTTAGTGTTTCCTGAGCACAAGGGCATTCTACATTACCACAGTACCATGATCCAAATCAGGAAATTTAGCGTGGAGGAAAAAGTATTAGCTAATCCATAGCTCACATTAAAGTGTTGTCAGTTGTCCCAACAGCGTCCTTTGTGGCCACCCCCTCTGCCAGGGTCACGCATCGCATTCAGTTGTCAGTCCCAACGTGCACAGGACGGTTATTAAGATGTCCTTCAGTGTGGTTTGTACTCATCGAGGGCTGTGCTGGGGAGGTGGAGTGGCTTTTGGGGAGGCTAGGCCCCGCGCTCTCTCGACGGTGGCCGGAGGGGCGGAGACTTCATCCGGAGCGCAGAGGCGAGGTTGTTAAAAAACCCTGGGTCTCGGGACGCGAGAGCAGCGATGGAGGCTCGACCAACGAGACGGCCGCCGCTAGAGCGGCCGGCGCACTTCCGGTCGGGGCGGCGCGAGTTCCGGCGGGCTGGCGCGGGGCGCCGGAAGCGTGGGTTTGGGCGCGGACGGTGGGTGCTTTGTGGAGCGCTCTGCTCCCGCCGGGGTCGCGACGCTGGCGGCCCAAATGGGAGGGCACTGGAGGGAAGCGTTCAGATCACAGGTTCAAAACGGAGCTCCTGTTGGCCAGGGGTAGTGCGTGACACGGGTGACCCAAGAGAGAATGGGCAAAGCCCCTCACCCCGCTATGTTTGGCGTCCGAGTACACGTGACCCCGATGCCTTGAGCCCCTCCGTGAAAATTTAAATGTTCTGGTTGTGGGTTGGTAGTGCTCCTAGGGCCCTGGCAGCAGCAAACAAATTCTCTTGGAAGAGTTCAAACCCAGGTTGGGGAAAGTTCCCATAACCATTTCTCTTTGAAAGGGACGACAGGACCGGCCTGGTGGCCCAGCGGTTAAGTTTGCCGCTCTGCTTCCAAACCCCATGGCCCAGGGTTCACCGGTTCTGATCCCAGGTGCAGACCAACGCACTGCTTCTCAGGCCATGCTGTGGCCGTGTCCCATATCAAGTAGAGGAAGATGGGCATGGATGTTAGCCCAGGGCCAGTCTTCCTCAAAAAAATAAATAAATAAAAATAAAAGGAACAAGGGCTCCTTCGAGATTTGGGGAAGGAAACAGTACAAAATGAGTCTAGACATCTTGTGCTAGCATGGACAGCAGTAACAAAATGGAGTAACGTATGTCAAGGTTTCTGAAGTGGAGCTGGGAGGCCATTAGGGAAGTGGGGTGTATGCACGCACACCAGGGCTCTACCCAGATGGAATGTAACTTTTGAAGTGTGCTTCACTATTGTTGTCTAGACCTTTCAAGAAATATGTTTACTCTCATAGATAAGAACTTTCTGCCATATGGCCTTAGCAACCAGTCACATACAGCCAAGAAGCGACAGTTGGTACTGGCACCAATTGCAAGTCTTGGAAAACAACCCACATAATTTATCTCTTTTTGCCTGTATACACCCTTGTCTCCTTTGTCTTCCTCGCAGCCCATTTTGGGTTTCTACCTGAATCTGTGTCTCCAGAATTACAATTCTAATTGCCCAAATAAATATCTGCTATTTGAATTGTAGTGAATTTTTCTTCAGTCAACACCAGAAAGCAAGGTTTCTCCCAGATACAGACCTGTCAGAAAGTCCTGTCAGAAGGACAGGGTAGCAAAAGTGAAGGGCTCAGATTGGCCAGAAAGTCAACAATTGAAGCAATAAAAAGAATAGTGACTATACTGAATAGAAACACATCAAATATATAAAATGCATGAGTTTAAAATACTATAAAAACTCACCCCATTGATCATCTTGAAGGTTGCTGGTACAATAACTCATTATTCTAAAAATTGATAAATGAAGAACCACATGTCCATTCTGCCTTTTCTGTATGAACTGTATTTCAAGATAAACAAATTGTTGGTGAAGGAAAGTTATGTATAGAATTTCACTTAATAAATGCAGAAGAAATACTCAGCGATGTCATAATGGTTGGTAAAGCCTATAGGTTGAAGATTGATGAGGATAATGGATGGATCCAGCTGACTCTCCGAATCCATGAATGACCCTAACTTTGCTAAGAGTAAGACATTAAGTGTCTCCTGGTATGAAGCAATAGAATCTGCACAGTGCAACCCACAAAGCATCTCAATTAGAAACAAAACTCTGATCTGATCAAGCTTTTGGATCTAACTACCAATGTATACAAAATAGAGGGGACAAAGGAAAATGCTACAAGACACAGTAGGGATGCAGTCATCCAAATCCTCTATAGGGCAAATATCTGTTTTTTTCCAAAAAATAAATGACAAGGAAAAGAAAAAGAAGGAGGGGAAATTGTTATTGATTAACAGAAACTTAAGACGCATTTCCACTAAATACAACGTTTGGACCTTGTTCAAACACTGATTCTAATTTGTGCTGTTAAATCAAGATAGGAAGAGTTCTTGGCAATTATGAAGCTACTAAACAGCGGTACACCCCACACTTCCTCTTCCCAGGCACCACTCCTATCAATTGACACTCCAATCTCTCTTTTCTGCCCAGACACCCCCGTCCGCAAGACCCTGTAGCCCACTGCTTTGGATGAAATAGTTCCGAGAGACATCAAAGTAGGCATTTGTCCATTTCTCCTTGTAGTTCTGTCATTTTTACTTTATGTATTTTGAAGCAATTATTAGTTGCATACAAGTTTAGAACTACTAGCTCTTCTCTGTGAATGGAACCTTTTATCAATCTGCAGTGTCCTCCTTTACCTCTGCCCACAGCCTGTCTGATATTAATGTGGCTGTTCCAACTTTCTTTTGGTTTGTCTTGCACGCCCCTTTCTTTGGGTGTCAATTTTATATTTCAGATGTCCCTAGAAACGGTATAAATGGTTCTTATAGTTTTAATACATTCTGACAATCTTTGTCTTTTAACTACAGAGTGTAGTTATGTTACATTGGTTAATTTGTAGTATTAATAGCAGTTTCGGTTTTTTATCAGTTTATTTTATACTTTCTGTATTTTCTTTCTCTCTTTTCATGATTCAGTTGAACCCCTCCCGCCATTTCATTTGTTTCTCTACTTGGAAATCATACTCTTCTCTTCTTTTAGTGGTCACCTGAGAAATGTTAACATGCACATTTAAGCTCATAATTCATGAAGATAGTATCTTTACTGTCCCCACAACCCTCAGAACGCTTTAAATTTCCATCACACCTTCCTGGCTGAGAACCTATTGATAACAAGATTACCCACAAATGAGACATTGCTTACTTTCCTTGTAAAAGTTCATCCACTTGCATACTTACCATTTGGGACATATTTGTATGTTGTTATGCTTTGATAAAAAGTTGACTTTCAAAATGCTGCAGGGCTAGTTCTGGTAGTCCCTTCTTCCTTGCACAGCTTTCTGGCTTCTCCCTCTCAATGAGCTGCTCAAAGTCGGCCCTGGTTGTCCTGTCCGGCTGCTGCCCTGACAGCTCCTATGGGGATGGAGGATAGCATGACCCCGCAAGCCCCTGAGGCTGGGCCACGTGGGACACCTAGCCCAGGGGACACACAGCAGCAGAGGGGATGGGTTGGCCCCGAGGGGGCGCCTCTGGCCCAGGCCCCCCTCAGACTGTGACACCCGTCCTCTTCTGTCCCCTCAGCACCTAACCGCTGCTCTGCAGCTCCTGCACCAAGTCACCACTGCCCACCAGGTGGGTGCCGTGCGGGCTTTCCTGTCGCCGCCCGGAACCCCTCCCCAGGATCTCCAGGCCAGTCTGGAGAGTGGGGACCAGAGCGAGCCCACCCGCAGCCATGCCCAGTCCCCTCCCAAAAAAAAGCCGCTGACCCTGTTCAGCTTCCCATCACCCTGGCAGAGGCAGAAGGGACACTGGACACCAGGGGATGGTGGGTAGGCCCCTCAGAGAATTACAGTGAGGGCAATGCCTCCAGAGGGTTCAATGAGCCAGGCCAGGCTGGGCCAGGGTGGGTGCTGACGCCAGCAGTGGCCAGAGAACAGGGGAGTGGGCAGCCCTGCGGTGGGGCAGGGCACGGGATGAGTGGGAGCAGTGTCCCCAACCTGCAGAGGGAGGCCACGTGGACGAGGAGGGAGCCTGCCTTGGCCTGGACCTCAGGGCCCAGCTGGTTGGGTTGTGCCCCTGCACGGGGCCTCCAGTGCAGGGGGGCCTGGCCCTGGGGCGAGAGCTGTGATCGGGGAGAGGGGGACAGCTGGGTGCTGGAACAAGCGAAGGGCTCTCACCATCAGGCCTGTCTGG